AATTTTATCCTGTTGCTATTCTTCATTAATCACATTTGCATTTCCCGGTTTGATCCTTGTGTGTATTTCGCTTACTAAATTTAGCTTATTCAGTTTCAAAAAGGTTGGTGACCCCTGATCTAAACGATTCATTTTCCTTCTGAAAATAAAATTTACTGTTAAAGTTTATTTTATTTTGACAACAAACTGCACATAATTGCAGGGCTTTAGATAATGGATGCCAGCTTTTCTGCACTATATCTGCCACTTTTCTGCCCTCAATTCGATAAGCAGATTAATAGTATTTCTAGAAGTATTAAACACATGCATATTGTAATGTCCAAAAGTTAGTAACCTGTATAAATTTGGGGTATCTTCATGCTTATTAAATTCGGTTAGCAGAGCACGCCACATGCTACTGGTATGTTTTGGAAGCAATAAGTATTGTAGCATCAAAGAAACAGACAGGTTGGCAACCACAACATCATTTAAAAGAGGCAATATTGTGGGTAAACAAGGTAAAAAGACATTGGTGGTGTGGCGGCAGTTTTGTTGATTAAAATCTGACTTTTTTTGATAAATATACTTTTCATTTTAGTTCATGAACTATTTTTTTTTATTTGGTATTGGTTTTCATTTCAGTTTTAGTTTATGATAATAACACTGGTCCGAACAAGCCCCACGCGCATGAACACCGTCAATCAACCAAGAACACACCCTGATTTTAGCCTAAATGTTTTCTCAACCATTTATTCAATGGTGATTCGAAGGTAGCAGGCAGACAACTTTATGGCTACAAGCACACAAGATATTAAAAAGCTCTACGTACTAATGGCAATTTAATAAACATGAATAGACAACACGGTGGTTCTGTCCTTCCTGGTGGTCCATCATCTATAATAGCGCCGGTACGCTTCCCCTTTATGTGCTCGTGCACAGCACTAGTGCTGCCGTGGTATGCCATCGAAACTTTGCAGTGTGTGAAACCACTGAATTACTCCCATAATTAAGTAGTGAAATTAAAGGAAAACAACTGTTAGAATGAAATCATAAATGTAATTCCAGTAAAATGCGTCGATGCGTTGATTTTAAATATTAATGTTGACACATTTTTAGCGTCAACGTCATCGACTATGTCAACTAATCGCGGCAGCCCTACACTTATGGAGTGACACAAGATGGTGATTTCGCAGACTGCAGTACAATATGTTACCTGACCGTATACAATAGCATCCCATGCCACCTTACAGGTTTTCTTCAGTAACCAATATATATATACACAAGACATTTCATATACATAGTGGCAAAAATAAAACAAGTTTATATAATATACAGTGAACATAATTGTTCATTTTTAATCTGACCAACATGGACCCCCTAAGACCCACTGACGGACCCCTTGGGGACCCATGGACCCCAGGGAAAGACCCCCTGCTCTACACTGTGTGAAGTTTTTATTATAACTAACTTAAAAATACCTCTTACTGTTTTTTCTATAAAGATTTTAAAGCATTTGCACTTTTCTTTAAACCAAGTGCTTTGTCTCAAATCATCTATTACTTAAATCGCCTGATCACAAAATCAATCGAATAATCAGAATAATTGGTTTTTGCAGCCTTCATTTCCAGGAACATTAAAGGACATTTAACTGCAAAACCCAGGGCATAAAAAGATCAATGTATTCATTGTTCTTTTTTTTTTTTGGTAAGAAGCACTTTAACCCCTTGAGGGCCTGATACCAGTGGTACAGAGGATCAGCCAGGGTATCATCATCATCTGATGCAAGACCTGGGAAAGGACCAGCATTTGAAGAAAAGATGCATGGTTACACAATGGGGTTATACAAGTTCACTCAATAAATAATTTCCACACTTCAAAGGAGAAAGTTTTCACTTCTTCACAGCACAGCACAACTTTCTAAACACTTCTAATATCTACTGTGGTTCAGATTTTAGGCCACCTACCAGCAGGCAGTCTGCCTGAGTGTCAGTATGCATGATTATCTTCCTTAAAAATATCACATGCTGCACACAAGAGCAGCTGACAAGAGTACAAGTAAAATTTGATGAGATGCTAGGCTACTTTAAAGTACCCCTTAAAGTAAAATGTGTAAAAATCATCGCTTTAAAGAAACCAGGTCTTATAGAGCAAATCTTACATGCATGTGCTCTTCATAGCAAGACACTACATAGTGCTTCCAAATGTTATTCTACATAATACATACATATGCTGCATATTTGTCAGTTTTAGAGTCGTTTTGATCATAATATACTAATTTTCCATACTGTCTGCAGATGACTACCAGGATATCCTATGTTACGGCAGGGCACCACGAAGGAGAAACCAGACACGGAGCAGCTCCAAGAAACAGAAAACTTTATAAAACTCAAGAAGAACACAAAGGCACTTAAATGCACTGATAACAGGGACTAACAAGGGGCAGATGTGGGCTATAAGAACTTGGGCAACAAGGAGCAGGTGAGGTCAATTATCAGATACAGCAGGTTCAGAGACCAAGGGAAACTGAAACAAGGAAAACTGAACGTAATACAACCAGGGAGCAAAACAAGGAACCACGCAGAAATACACAAATAAGTAACATAACAAACAAAAAACAAACAGTTAATTGTAACATAAAAGGAAATTAAGGATTGAGGCCGACCACTTAGCCCATTTGGCCATGCAGTGAACCCGGGAGCAGGCAAACACACTAGGAGTAAAAGACACTGGGATGACCAGCAACATCTGCTGGCCACTAGAGGAACTGACATAACAAAAGGGACTGATCCTGATAATCTTGTAATTCAATTTAGAAGTTTCTGACATTAAACTTGCGCTTTTTGGTTTTTCCCTGAACCATTATGTAATGACAGAAAAATGCTGATAAGATACGTAAAATCCATTTGTCCCTTTGATCTTATGAACCACATTGCACATACTTTGTTATGTGTTACTATGGTCAGTGTCCTTGATTAAACAGAAGTGGAGCTGTATACCGGATTTATTTCTGAGCATTAACATTTAAGTAGAAAACAAGCTTGACCACCTAAGTGGAAAATAGTTATAAAAAAAAAAGTGCCACAAATGTCACACAATATAACCCAAATTTTCTCATTTTCTCCTGCCAAGTTTCATGTGTGCTACTGCTAATTTTAGGACATTTTTGTGCGAACTTGTTACTACGGATGCTGGAAAAAGCTGGGGAAAGGATGTCAAACTGGTGCTTCAGATTTACTACTAGGCTGGCTACAGACTCATACCTGATTATGAAGTAAGCCAATGCAGAAGGTTTCACACTCAATCAAAGTTATAACTACATGCCTGCACCTGTCCCCTTTATCCCAACCTTCAACACAGCTCAAAACTTCTCTGCCCTGTCTCTCCTCTGTGGACTAGCATGATTAAAAGCTTTTTCATCTTTTATCATCTCCTTTTAACTGCAAACTTCCATATTCACCCCTGAAGGAAGATCTAGACTCTGGCAAAACTATTATTGTCATATGTTTATGGCAACTGTACATAACTTTTATAGAGAGGGTTGTCCCACATCCGCCTGTGAACTGATTATTGTCAAAGCAAAACAAGGTTCTTATGGTTCAGAACATACCTGTTGGCTTTTCTCCTATGTACCATCAGGACTGAGACCAGAAACTGATCCCACAATTTGGATTATCTCACTTCAGCATCAGTGTATAATGTTTTATATCTGTGTTTATGTCCCCTATATGACCTCACCATTGTTTCCATTAGCAAATTTTATTGTTGGCAATACGTTTACTTTTCTCATAAACTTGAGTAAAAATGCAGGCTAATCACTCATGAATTTTATAAATATATCCAAAGATCCACACTACAGAAGGCAAACCAACGCATGCCAAGCAAAACAAAGGCAGCCGATGAATCTTTTGGAAGGAAATTAAAGTTATATTTCATGATGAGCCAAGCAGGCCAATGAAAGTTTTTATCGTCATCTAAGGTGGGCCAAACACGAATGCAAAGGTATATACAAGCATGTCTTCATTGTCACATAGAACAAGGCAACTTCCCATGGTCATGGTTCAACAGAGCTCAAAGGAAAAGGAGCGACTGAGCATACAAATGGAGTACTGAAGAGGCCTTGTGGGTGCCTGAATTTGGATGTACCTGCAGCTGGAGCTAAAATGAGCATGTGCTGAATGCACATCATAATATCATAAAAGGTTCTCTCTAAAAGCACATTAAAATAAAAAAATATATTCCTTTAGAACATCATAAAACTTTTCAACTGGTGAATTGTGCTTTTTGGAAATAAAATATAAAATACACATACTACAGATTATGCTTTTTTTTCTATCAAACATTTCTTAGAAGACATGACTAGGGTTTCTTGAAACTGATGAGTTGTACTTTATTTTAAAAACCTTAAAATAAATCTAAGCTACTAAGATATTTTTGGAGAAGAGATTTTTAAAAATAATTTAAAGATAACTTTCTTCCTTCATGCTGCATGCTGAATTCATTGGCTTTTGAAAAACCAGCTTAAGATGACTCGGATTACAGTACATCTATTTTATATAACTACAGTATTTAGTAACTGCAATTATCCCAGTTATTTACAGTCTGATTTGTTTTTTTTCTATTTGTCATGGTTCATGATCATTAAAACTTAGAACAAAATGGCCCTATCTGTTAAAATGCATATTATTACTTCATTGAATAATGAATAGCCCTAAGACACTTATAATAATGTTTCTGCTGAAAAAATAAAACAAAAAAGTAGATTATGGTTGAAACCCAAAAAGTGCTGCCATAAAATAAAGACTCTGAATACACTGCAGTAAGGCTCTAAAAGTAAATAAGAATGTCTTTTACACTGAGGTACAGTATACAACATAATGTAGGACATCAAACTTTGCAAGCAGGCTACACAGATCTGACTGGCAGTTAAGATATTGAACATGCTCAGCTTCACTACTTTGCAACAACATCAATAAATAAATGTTAATGAGAGCTAAAATGATAGAAAGCCACTGGGTACTCACTGTGCTGCTCTCGTTATCTATGCAGGGACTGCACTCAGCTTGAGAGTCCTGGAAGAGAGCAAATTAACCATTAGAAACTTAACTGCAAGTTTTACAATAAATATTGCATGTAGAAGTAAATTAATGATCAAAGTCGCTGATGCAAAAAACATTCAATCACACTGATCGAATATAAACGTAAAGCATTTAATAACGCTTGAATTTTAGGAAGCTGTAATTTAAATGCAAATGTACATTGACTATGACATGTACAAACACTGGATATTTCCATCCATCCATCCATTGTCCAACCCGCTTATCCTACTGGGTCGCGGGGGGTCTGGAGCCTATCCCGGAAGCAATGGGCATGAGGCAGGGAACAACCCTGGACAGGGGGCCAGCCCATCACAGGGCACACTCACACACCATTCACTCACACATGCACACCTAAGGGCAATTTAGCAACTCCACTTAGCCTCAGCATGTCTTTGGACTGTGGGGGGAAACCAGAGTACCCAGAGGAAACCCCATGACGACATGGGGAGAACATGCAAACTCCACAGTCCCCCACTGGATATTTCAACTGAAATTCATTGGTAAAATAATACAAAAATATCTGGCTTCAACAATTCAGATCCAAAATACAGTTTAGTATAAACTGCATTTTTATAATTCAGTAACCAGAATTCAGGTAATTTACTTTTACCTCAAAATAAATTTCATGAGAATAAATTCAGTTGGAAACATTCAATGTTTTAATGGCATCTTCATAATTCAAGAGGCAATATTCCATCCTCTTATTTTCACTCCATAAATACGCTACCAAAATTTCATTGGTTTAAAATACAGTCCAAAATTCAATCATCTGCATCTGGGACTGGCAGGAAGAGCAATGATTGCTGTCAGCGCTGTCTAGATCTGGAGTCTACAACGAACACACAATAAGAACAAGTTATGTTGCACCGTTTCACAGAACAGTAAATTTTGTTTGTGTCATGGGAGACATTACTGTTCCAAAGTCAGCTACTGTCCCATTCCTGCTACCCAGCTAGCTAGCTTGCAAACTAGAAAACCCAGTAATTGCCCACATGAAGTAAGTTTGGTGTAGAGATGTACGATATATCATAAGCAACACGGTATCAGCTGACAGACATCTTGATAACTAATGAATATTTTAGCCGATACTGCCAGCCAATATTTAAACTTTATACTTATAAAACGTGAACAGCAGTAATTTTTTGAGCGGAACTTCAGAATAAAATACAGCTAGACAAAAATTAGGCAAATCCATCTGTCATAACTCACCTAAACTGCACACTCTGTCCCTCATGCTTGCTCTGACTGAACTTGCCAACACCTTTGTAGTAGCTGTATTCCTGTGTGTGGCTGGATTTAAAATGTTTTTCACCTCTCTAAACTTTTCTGATCACCTTTAAAGACTGACTCTACAGCAGCGAATGGAACTGCCATATTGGATTGCTCACTAAGTTATTGGACAAAAGACATCTGAATTTGGCAAAATATGACCTGTAACCAGCAGGTGTGAGTGCATCTGCAGGCACAGTGAGGTGCAAACTTTTGGAGGAAGGCCTGGTGTTAAGAATCGCAGCAGAAAAGTCACTTCTCTCCAAGAAAAACATCAGGGACAGATTGATATTCTGCAAAAGGTACAGGGGTTGGATTGCTGAGGACAGGTGTAAAGTCATCTTCGCTGATGAATCCACTTTACGATTAGTTTTTCCAATTTGCGATTTCCGATTTGCTTAGGGCATCTAGAAAAAAAAGATTGTCTGGAGAAGAAAATGTGAGCGCTACCATCAGTCCTGTGTCATGCCAACAGTGAAGCATCCTGAGACCATTCATGTGTGGGGCTGCTTCTCAGCCAAGGGAATGGGCTCACTCACAGTTTTGCCTAAGAACACATCCATGAATAAAGAATGGTACCAAAACTTCTCCCAACCATCCAAGAACAGTTTGGTGATGAACAAAGCCTTTTCCAACATGATGGAGCACTGTGCCATAAGGTAAAAGTGATAACTAAGTGGCTCGGGGAACAAAACATTGATATTTTGGGTCCATGACGAGAAAACTCTGTAGACTTTAATCCCATTGAGAACTTGTGGTCAATCCTCAAGCGGCAGGTGGACAAACAAAAATCCACAAATTCTGACAAACTCCAACCATTGATTATGCAAGAATAGACTGCCATCAGTCATGGTTTGGTTGATTGACAGCATGCCAGGGTGAATTGTAGAGGTCTTGAAAAAGAAGGGCCAACACTGTAAATATTGACTCTTTGCATAAACTTAATGTAATTGTCAATAAAAGCCTTTGACACTTATGAAATGCTTGCAATTATTAGGGATGGGCCGATCCACATTTTTTCAGTTCCGAACAGATTCCGATACACAACTGCCGATACCGATACAGATTCCGAAACAAGAGCTCTTTTTACTTTGTTATACTTCATATATTGATTTTTTAAGCTAGTAAATACAGATTGAAAAAATGTATAACAAAAAATATTTAATTAGGCTACTACAAACACATAACGTACTGTTCCACCTCGTTTGTACAGCTTGTTTTAAGCGTTTTTGAGGCATTTGGAGTTCAATACGTACAGTATATCTTCAAAACAAGTATACACAAGTGGCGAATGCTTAAAAATTAAACAAAACTTTAAAACAAAGCGTCAGCTCAGTTACACTTTGTTGTGATGGCAGCCCCTCTTGTATCACAAGCTGCAGCGAGTTCGCAGGACAGTCCAGGTTAGCGACTCCCAAATCATCCATTGCTTTTTTGTCTTGCAGTTGCGTGCGCTTTGTTAAGTGGGCCGGATTGTCCATTAATTCCCACCTCTCAAAACTTTATTTTACAAACATTGCAAATCGCTATGGTACTGGTTTCTGTTAAAAGCGTAAAATACTCCCAGATCGTCACGTCTTATCGCACGCTCCTCGTGCTGCGAAGGGTATGCACATGACGTCAGAGCAGGCGGAAGTCACTGTACTCACACCCACTGAGTAGCAAAAAAGACTGAGTGGCAGCGTTAGCGTTCGATTTGAATGCCGCAAAAAAAAACACATGTAAAATGGGAAAGAGCTGTCGTGCGATTGATTGTACAAATAGACTTAACACGAAATAGGAGCTGTCTTTTTAGAGAGAAAAAAAAAACTAAAAAAGTAAGTATCGGATGTGGATAGGTTTTGTTCAGAGCCCGCATACTGAGTTTGATGGGTGACTGACAGATGCATTTAATTGTTGCTGGTATAAACTGTAATTTAAATAATAGTCTAAATAATTTAGACGATTATTTTAATAATTTAAATGACAAATTTATAATTTAGCTGACAACTATAATTTAAATAATCATTTTAAATGGCATGTATTTATTGAATATTGTCACAAAACGATAGCAAACCCTATATTAATCAAAGCCTTGGTTATATACATGATTATGCCGAAATGTTTTTATATTCTGTGTACTCCTGACGTACAATAAACCACTACAAACTTAATTAAAGGGCCACCCATGCAAAAAAATAAAAAACATACCGTGATGTACTATGTATATTATGTACTATGTAACCTATATTTAAAAACCCGTCATACCAAAACTACAACGATGACATTACATTTTAATCCTGACAGGATAGAACTCGCAAATCATACCACCTTGCTTGCAATGACGACATCTCGGCAGACTAATTTCAGAAAGCATAAACAAACGTAAATACCGACAAGGAGTGAGCCTGCACTGTTTAAATATGATTAAAAAGTACAGCCCTTAGCGTCACAGAGCTGACGAGGGCAGATTGCAGGTCTGCCAACTCTCACGCATCTGGCGTGACACTCAAGCTTTCAGACTATCAGGCATGAAATCATACAGCAAATCTATATAGTTCCATTATAAACCTAAAATTAACTACAACAAAAGCGTCGGGGCTGTTTACATACTATTTACAAGGTAAATGATCTGTTACATACATGTAAATACCTGTGCAGACTTGTATCGAACTGAAAATCTCATACCAGCCAGCTGACCAGAGTTGGTAACGCTTAGGTTCGCATTCTTTGATATAAAAACTGCAGGTCTTTTCCCAAAGAAAAAAGAAAAAGAGCGAAGTCTTTTAAACCCTTTTTTAACTTACTGAACCTACACATTTCTTCTGGAATGCCTCCTACTTTCATTCAGTAGGCTATTTACATTTTCAATCTACTGACTTAGATACGAAAGCTTTTCCCAGCAACCTTCTCACCTATTAGAAAAAAGGGAAAAAAAACATCGACGAGAAAATGCGTAGTTTGGTTTATCCGTTGCTACTGTTACACGATTTGTAATGACAAGGGATACGAAGTACTCCTCAAAAATGTTTTACCTTATTCAGCCACAAGATGGCAACATTTACCCACACAGCCATTAAAAAGCCCTTAGACTGTATTCTGCAACCAATACAAGGAACAGGTCTGAGTCTAGATCGTCTGGCTAGATAAAAATTAGGGGGTCACTTAATATAAATAAGAATCATATAAATTATAAAATTAAACAAGCTATATTTGTATAGATATATTATGCACATTGAAGTTGACTAATATATTTTTTTGGTTTTCTTAATGATTGAAGCTTCATTCTGACTACAACCTCTTTCTAAAACAGATACCAAAGCTGTCTACATGGTATCCCTTCAGTGAACATATTGTTCCTTCTTAGGTAACAGATTGTCTTCATGAGTTCTTTGTAGTTGTGGGGATACAACACAGCATTCATTTAGTAGTAAAATTCAGGAAGTTACTACTTAACTAAGTTCACTCCACTGATTATTTACTTCTGAGCACATGGCACACATAAGGGTCAGGTAAATCAAATAAAGCAACACATGTAAACCGGTTAATTTAATGTCCATGCCAAAATAAAAGAAAGATCACAGAAAGGAAGCGACTGGCAGCACTCACTCGATTGATGGGTGAGAAGCCCTTATCTGACGGTATTAGTGTCTTCTGGCTGGCACACTGAATACCCGTGTTAAAGCACGTGTCACAGAAAGCTAGTGACTGCTCAGAGCGGTATA